GCCCCTGGGTGACACCAGGAGCCCCTCGATGGCCCCGGGTGCCCCTTGATGACCCCTGGGTGGCCCTGGACACCCCTGGGTGACACCAGGAGCCCCTCGATAGCCCCGGGTGCCCCTGGGTGGCCCCTGGGTGGCCGTAGACACCCCGGGGTGACACTGGGTGACACCAGGCGCCCCTGGGTGACACTGGGTGACAACAGGCGCCCCTGGGTGACACCGGTGTCCCCGTGTCCCCAGGCCCTGCTGCACAAGTACTCGCACATCCGCAAGACGCGGCCCGACGGCAACTGCTTCTACCGGGCGTTCGGCTTCGCCCACCTGGAGGCGCTGCTGGAGGACGGACAGGAGCTGCAGCGGTGCGGGAAGGGGCGGGGGGCAGGAGGAGCCCGGACGCCGGGGCCCCTCGGGGGGGCCGGGAGGAGTCACCGGCCCCCCCAAACATCTGGGTCCCTCGTGGCGGCAGGTTCAAGGAGCTGTCGGCGCGCAGCAAGGACGAGCTGGTGGCCCAGGGCTTCACCGAGTTCACCATCGAGGACTTCCACAACACGGTGGGACACGGCGGGGGACACGACGGGGAGGGGACACAGGGACACTGCGAGGGGAGGACATGGGGACAGTGCAGTGAGGACATGGGGACACTGTGGGGAGGTGACACGGGGACACCAGAAGGGGAGGACGTGGGGACAGCACGAGGGGATGACGGGGACACCACGGGGGGGAGAACATGGGGACACCGCGCGGCTGCAGCTGGGTTGGGGCTGGCTGAGACTGGGACCACTCGTGACACTCGTGTTTGTGTCCGAGTGTCCCCACGTGTCCCCAGCCCCCCGGTGACAGTGTCCCCGTGTCCCGCACAGTTCATGGAGCTCATCGAGCAGGTGGAGCGGCGGGTGCCGCCCGCGCAGCTCCTGGCCGCCTTCAACGAGCCCAGCACGTCCGACTACCTGGTGGTCTACCTGCGGCTGCTGACGTCGGGCTGCCTGCAGCGCCACCGGCCCTTCTTCGAGCAGTTCCTGGAGGGCGGCCGCAGCATCAAGGAGTTCTGCCAGCAGGTGGGGCGTGCTATGGGGCCCGCACGGCTTCCCGTGGGGCACAAAGGGACTGCTATGGGGCACACGCGGCTTCCTATGGGGCGCAGACGGCCCTGTGTGGGCCCCCCGTGTCCTCGTGCCGCTCTCGCCCCGCAGGAGGTGGAGCCCATGTGCAAGGAGAGCGACCACATCCACGTGATCGCGCTGGCGCGGGCGCTGCACGTGCCGGTGCTYGTGGAGTACATGGACCGCGGCGAGGGCGGCGCCACCCACCCGCACGTCTTCCCCGAGGGCGCCCGGCCCCGCGTGCACCTGCTCTACCGGCCCGGCCACTACGACATCCTCTACAAGTGAGCGGCGGCGGCGCGGGGACGCGGCCCCGTGCGCCGGGATCCGGCCCCGTGCGCGAGGATCCGGCCCCGTGCGCGAGGACCCGCCCTCTTGCACGAGGACACGTCCTCTCGCACCAGGACGCGGCCCCGTGCACGAGGACCCCCCCTTGCCGCCCCATTGCTGCCCCCAGGTAATAAAGCGGCCGCTGGCCCTAGAGGTGGCTCCGTGTCTGTCTTGGTGCCCTCGGGGGGGAGTTGGGGGCRGTCGGTGGGGCAGGAGGGTCCCCCCCATGTCGCTTAACCCCCACTGGGGCTCCAGGTGGGCCCCGGTGTCCAAGTGTCCCGTTTTTGGGGGGGAGGGTGTCCCGTTATTGGGGGAGGGGGGATCCAACAGGGCTGGAAAAGGTGGAGGGAGACAGGCTGGACTGGGAATTTGGGTTGAGTTTGTCATTTTTCCCCAGTCTCCCCCACCCCCTTCCTGGGCATTTATTCAGCTCCCGGAGGCAGAAGAAGTAGAAAGGGGTTGGGGGGGGACTACAACTCCCAGCGTGCCCTGCGCGGGGTAAAATGGCCGCCGAGAGGAGACTACAGCTCCCAGCGTGCCCTGCGCGAGATAAAATGGCGGCCGAGAGAAGACTACAGCTCCCAACCTGCCTTGCACAGAGTAAAATGGTCGTCGAGATGAGACTACAGTTCCCGGCGTGCCCTGCGCGGGCTAAAATGGCCATTGAGAGGAGACTACAGCTCCCGGCGTGCCTCGCGCGGGAGAAAATGGCCGTCTGGGAGCGCCCTGCCAGGAGACTACAGTTCCCGGCATTCCCTGCAGGCTTCAAAATGGCCGCCAGGAAGTCCACTCTGGGGAGAGTACCGCTTCCGGCATGYCGCGCTAAACAAAATGGCCCCCGCCGTCAGAGGCGGGAGATCTACGTAAACAGACGTGAAATTAATAAAATAAAGTGAAATTAAGTAAAATTTAGTGGAATGCAGTCAAGTGTAATGACATGCTGTTTTGTGTCACTTTTCATTGTCTAGTATAAAATTCCAAGTACAAAGTGAGGTGAAATTAAGTAGAATAAATTGAACTAAGTATTCCATAAAATGAAGTGAATAAAGTTAACGTTAGGTTAAATAACATTAGAATGATACAAGCTTAGAATAAAAATAAAATTTGATATATAGATATCAGCTTAGAATAAAAAATAAAAAGTTAAAATTAAATTTTGATTTTTTTTTAATAGCAGTTCCCCCCCTGCCCGCCCCCCAGGCCCTGGGGCTGCTCTTTGGGCCTCGTCCTGGTGCGAGGAGGCCCYGGAGCAGCCGGGAATCCGCCCGGGGACGGTCCCGGTTCCGCAAAGAGCCCGGAGGCGACGGGAGAAGCTCCAGGATCCCCAGAGGTGCCACTGGGGTGAGGCCCCCCCACGAGCAGCTCCCAGGGTCCATCCCAGGGCAATTCCCACCTGGAAGGAGCTCCGGAGGCGACGGGGCCCGGCCCCGACACCCAGAAATTCCCGAGGCGACGTCACCCAACAGGACACGGGACACGGAGGGACCGGGCGCCTCGGGGACCCCCAGCCCCCGACCGCARCAAGAAGGACCCGACGTCGTCCGTCAATGACGGTTAATAAACTTTGGTTTATTTGCATTTTACAAGACCCTTTTTTTTTTTTCTTACATTCTCCATTAATTTT